TTGAAGGCAAGTTTTAACGCCTTCGGTATCTCAATCCTCGCTTTATTGAGAACTCGGCATCTCTGTCTACAGGAACGCCATGCCTAGATAACCATAACAGTTCTTTTACTAAAGGTTTACAGTATCCCTGGACATCTGAAAGTTTGCCTTTGCCGGAATAAATTCCTATGACAAACACTTCACTTATGAAGGGCTCCATAACGCGGCCAAGAGTTATATGGCAAACTGTCTATAGCTAAATATATTACTATCTCATTTCCTACAATAGGCATGACATATTGACTTATGTGCTTGGTTAATTTTTTAACAAGTCCCACGTGGACATACTCACCGCTGCCAATTGCCGTTACCTTTGTCCGAGTGCTTTTCCTTCCCAGAAGAGTACGTCCATCACCTGGTAGGTCGGGGGCCACACGTTTCAATACGCTGTCCAACCAATCACAGGCCGACCTAGCCAATGAACGCTCTCTCTCTGTCTACTGGCCTGACTGCTGTCAAACCAGCACTTGGACTCGACTGGCTCTCCTGGCTGGCTGTATACTCTTCGAGTTAAATCTCTTTCCATCTATTCTTCGTTCCTCTTTGTACACACTATACTGTACCTACTACTGTGGCCTTTCCCAAGACTCCTCCTCGACTAAGTAACCATGGTCTGAAGATCGTAGTCGCTAGGGTTTAACTCACTTAACCCCCTGCGATAGCTGCAGTGATTCCGAAACGAGACTAACGCCAATAGTTTTACATATCTAGGTGGAAACAGAAATGCTCATGGAAAAATAGTACTACTAAGATACTGGAGATGCCCACGTATACGGCAATATCGTTTTCCTGGCCTCTCATAAGCAACAAAGACCCCTTTAGCTGAAGAGAAAGCGGCCGCTTGAAACACGCAGCGAAATCAATGTCAGATGTTCCCTGTTACTAGTTGCCGACTGCGCTAGTTTAACCTGTGCTGACGCACTGATCAGGAACGACGACAGGAGAAAGGATGCGGGGAGGGAGGGGGCTGTAGGCAATTCGATCAGACATTTTGATCCCTACTATCCAATCCAAAAGCTGGAGCGTAAACGAATGACCCCCACCCACGCAAACATTCTTAGATTTTGTGCTTCTAAGCCTCCTACGATATGTCCCTGCAAGTCAGAGTACTCGCAGTATTAGTCATTGGCACAAATAGCCTAAGAGGAACACACAATGCCCTTAACCAATCACAAAATCCATCGGAATTTTTGGTGCTTAACATCGACTAGCGCATATTTAAGAGCACGCTAACCTCTGCTAAAGACTCCAAAAACGTACTTTGCTGTAGAAATGGGCTTTAAACATATCTCCATGCTAGTCTTAGCCCTGTGCCTTTTAGTCTTGGTTCTTTATAACCTCCGCCTCTGGCCCCCTCCGCGCGACAATGAAGCAGACGGAACCTCCCTTTTGGAGGATGACCTGGTGCAACGATGCGCTAGCCTCTTTTCCAACAATGTGACGAAAAGTCACGGCGAATCCAAACACTTAATACCTTTGAAACCACACACGTTCTTTCTTCATCTAAACAGAGAAATCGGCAGAAATTGCAAGCACTTCAAGGAAAGCCTCTTCTCGAGACCAATTCCGATAAGAGAAGAGGAGAGGCAGTTTCCTCTGGGCTTTCTTCTCACCGTATTCAAGGACATAAATCAGGTGGCGCGACTGCTACGTCTAATACATCGGCCACACAACTTCTATGTCATTCATGTGGACAAAAAGTCGCCACGTAAATTCCACAAGGCAGTCGCAGAGGTTGCAAAGTGTTTTGGCGACAACGTCGGCGTGGTTCCTCTCAGTGAAAGCATTTCGGTCAAACGGGGTGACTACACGGTGCTTGAACAGGAGCTGGTTGCGGCGCGACTACTGCTCAAAATGGGAAAGTGGAAGTATATGATAAATTTGACGGGCCAGGAACTGCCACTGAAGACAAATCTAGAACTGGTACTAGGTCTCAGAATGCTAAACGGGTCGAACCTGGTTCAAGCCACATTCAAACGCCAAATGGCAATTCGCATCCCGAATGTCACTTTATCATTCCCGGTAAGTAAGCAGTTTTTTCGGTCGGTTTCGGGAGTTATCAATACTATTGAGCAACAAATGGTATCCCATCTGCCCAATTTAAAATCCGGCGTTGTTCGATGTTGGCCACCTAGAATGTGGTCAAAATGCAAAGTACAAAACGACCTTTGTCCGATGTTCGTAGCCCAAGAAACGAACGTTAAACTAAGATGAACATTTGAAAGTCACAAACGATAAATAATGACAAACAATATTCCCAAATTAAAAACATCGAAGTCAGTTTCGTAGGCCATTCCACGTCTACGATATAAAGCTAAACACTTCTTCCGTTATGATTGACGGTTTCAGCCAATTTGGCTGGAAATGAAAAAAATCACTTTTCTCTTTATATTGGGATATTTTCCACCGCAGTAGATTACTTCCAGGCTCTGGTCTAACCTTGCGAATGCAAAAACAAGTGGCCAAATATATATGTACGAAGATATTGCTATATTTATTATTTTTCTTTCTGTTCCGATTCTAAATTAATCATAGGCGGAAATTATAGTGAAAAGAAAGTATTTTGTACATTCTTCATATTTAATGAGATTCGGTTTTACCTTAATCTTCGCGATAGTATATAGGCAGTTCTGGTTACGTCCCATATAATTGGTGTGGTTAAGATCTTTTAATTACTGCATTTTTTGGTAAAACCTTTCACACATTAGCAAAAAATAATTGCTTAAACTGACATTGTGCCTCATTGCTGAAAATAAATTCGATTCCTTAAACTTGACTTCGCTCGCATTTGAGCAACTTTGGACTATATTGTCCGGCTCTGGAAGGGGCATATTATGAACCTTTCTTACTTATTTTGGGGTTCCCCAAAATAAAAATAAAAGAGTTGGTTTTGTCATATTTACAAGCATAGAAAATTTATTCAATATCAGGCTACTCCCTATTTAGCCAAAATTAATGCCTATTACCGTCAATAAACTAAACTGAAAAGGCTGTTTTCCTTAATAAAAGGCTTTTTCAGGATTAAATCCCTTCGTTTGATCAAAATAAGCTGACTGTCCAAATACATGCTAAAATACCAAGTCAAATTTTTTCATGATCTTTGCACAAATTCTTAGCCATACGGTAGTTTTTTCCGTTGTACTTGACGGTTGCGGCCAAAATACGGACCGAAAAGTAGGGTCGGTATTTCATCCAAAATTCCAATGTTTGTGAGAAATTGGTAATCACTCCTAAAACGGTATTAAGCAGTTTTGTAATACTTATTATCCTACAACCTAATCTAACCGTATTTCAGTTGCTTTCCAACCGCTTACATGATTTATATTCTGTAAAAAATGGCAACTTGACTGGTAGGAATTTAACTCATTGCTTCTGACTGCCTTTTTAAATTCGAATATATATCCTTAATAGAAAACATTCAAAAAATTAGTATTTCATGTAGTCATTTGGTAGCACATAACGCCTTCTTGAAATTTTGAACTTCAAGAAAGAATATATTTCGGGTTTAAACAATTGTCTAATTATGATATTTTTTACGACTGTGAAGTGTTCATTCTAAATACGTCGTATCCGTCAATTTATTAATGTTGCCTGTAATTTATACAGCATGATCCACATTTATGGAAAACTTTTATGAGAACTATGTGACTTCTTCCTCACACCGTAGGGAGAAACGTACTTTTTGTTTTACTCCGGATGTACACAGTACGCAGTTTGGAAACCTCGGGTGCAGTTGTAATGGTCGGTAGATTTCAAAACTATTTGGCAATGTGGAAAAATTTAAAAATAAATTTAAAAATACCTTTCCTTTAAGTATAAATTTGAAGAAGGCATAGTTTGCTACAAAAGGAGTGTAAGAAAGAATAATTTCTTGAATGCCTATTCTATTAATGCAAATTACCCTTAATAAACTTAACTAAAAGGGCACTTTTCCCAACTAGGAAGCTTCTTCAGGATTAAATCCGCTCCAAGGATCAAAATAAAGTGACCAAATATATGCTAAACTACCAAGTCATATTTTATCATGATCTTTG